TAAATCCGAAATCGAGTTTATTTTTCCACGATATGCTGCTTATTTTTATTTCACTTAATTATTTCTTTATGTGCTATGATTCTTTTTACGATCATGCAAATGGATGACAGTTGCACAAATTGATTGTTTTGCAATTACAATTACGATAAGTGGGCGGACTTTGATCAGTGGCTTTTCCACGTTGCTGGCCTATGGAACGGACCAAGCGGACCGCCAAATATACATACTAATCATCATCATAATAACTAGCACTAATACACATGCTAGCGTAGAACTTTAAAGCGCAGTTGCCTAACACATTAGTTCGATATGGAACTACATAATAAGCAATAATTGCGGATGGGTTTGGAGAGATTGATTGAAATTCGCTATTTATTTTGAATGCATTTTTTAATGGCAAATACATACTTGTATGTAGATAATGAAGTGCTAAGGAATAAAGTCTTTGTTAAGCGTATCTGAACGGATTCGCTGCATTTTCTTTACCACAGTCTTGTAAAATGTTTGCCACGGTTTTTTTTAATGTTTTTATGTACAATATTTTTAAAAAAGAGTTTTCCTTATCACAAAGCACTGATTTCTCCAGCTAGATACTGTTCTCTCTTATGTAGAAATTCAATTATTACAAACTATTAAAAGCAGATTTCGTTTTGTATCATATTCCAACTCGTAGCTCAAAATAAATGAATATCAGTGCTAATTAAGGTATAACTAGTAATGATCGAAATACTCCCCACTTGGACGCTACTGACTACCAATCATATCTTACTCAGGGATTATTGATCAGTGATCTACTTTTATGTGCGTTGTAAGAATTACGATATCGAATAGGATAAATCGGTGAAAAGGAAGAGCAACCGACTGTTTATATAGAAACAGAGGCGTGTATATCGTAGATAATATCTTTTAAAAATGAAATGAATGAAATAAACTTGCACCTTTACAATTCTCCATTTCTTAAAAGTGCATTTTAGATAGTAAGTGATCCGCTAAATGCATTGATCAGCAAATCATTCATAATAAGCTCTTCACTAACTTAATTAAAGATCAGTCTGATTTGAGACATAAATAGGTTTCCTAAACAATTACATATGTCCGTTTTGTTCATGCCAGAGAGACATTTTCTGAAATATTTCCATTGAATGGGCTGGTTATGATTTAATAATTACGATACTGGAAGCCCCTTTTATTTTCTAACAGCATTCCTATTTTTCCTATTAAACCCAATAATATATTTTATCAACAGAACGGCCTATGCCTGATCAATCAATATTTCAATGCTCGTTAAATAATTGCAAAGATTTATTTTGCCAGCTCTTTGTTATAAATTGGAATTGTTTCTAGTTTGAATTAAACTGTGAACGCATAAAATGAATTAAATTAATTGAAATGATTTTTTTTTGTGTTTTTTTTTTTGTTTCTTAGCAATGTTTAATGAAATATTACAATGTCGCAGAAATAAAGGGCGCAAAACTGAAAGTTCATTAAGCAGCACTTTGAAGCGGGGCAAAAGTAAAAGGCAAGGCAGTTATGGGACTCGTGTGTGGTTGGGGCTGCTGCACAGGCTCTTGAAGACCTTTGGCTGTCAACTTGTTTGGCAAAAGCAAGCAGCAGATGACCTTGTGACCTACAAACGATGTCTGTCGTGCGTGCCTGCATTTTGCATTTCGAGCTTTGTGGTTTCTTTCTTTCTCTTTTTTCTGCGCTTTGTGTCTTTTCGGCTCATTATTTTTGTCATTTCAACGGATGCGCGCATTAATTTAATTTTGAGCTCGCTTCAATTCGCTTTTTTATTTTCATTTTCGTGATCTCGTATAATGTTGCATAAAATAGCAGCAATAAGACGAGACTGGTTGTGGTTTTATTTTTTTCTTTTTTGGCAAGGTGTGGCTGTTGTTTCTGTTGTTGTTGGTGGTGGTGCTGCTGCGTTTTATGCAATTAAAGATTATGTTTCGTTTCGTTTCCTTTTTTTTTGATTCTTTGCATTCATTAAAAAAGAAATAAAAGCACCTCATCCACATGCTGCTCGAAATGAAGGCAGACAGCCTTGAACGATGCATCTTATTGATAAGCAAATCGCTTCAACTCGAAGTAGTTCACCTGATTTTCGCTCATGGAGTGGGTCCACAAGCTGTTGCAGTGGACGGCTTAAAGGTGTCAGAATAAAACTTGTTTCGAAGTATGGTGATTGGGGGATTGTTTATGGTAGTGCTAGCTGGTAGAGCTATGGCTCTGATCATCACCTCACAAAATCCTTGATCGATGAAACTAATTTAAATAAATGCTGTTGACGTGGCGACCAAGCCTTAAGTTGGCTCTCCCAAGCTTTGATGGCATTGTTGATTTCATTTAAGCAGCAACAAAGTCACTTATCATTCACTTTAATGAATATTTCCAGAGCAATCAATGTCCTATTAAAGTATTAGTCCACTACTAGATGTGAGCAATAAATTTGGCGCACTAATCACATTTCAGATTCAATAATTAAACACTTCACTCCAATGCAATTATCAGCAACAGACTTCTCACAAACCGGCCAATAAAACTGATGAGTTTTTTAAGCTCAAATTCCAGTTAATTATATAGAATTTGCACACATGATTGTTAGGTTTAGGGCCAAAAGCATTTTTTCTGAGCTCTGCGACAATCGACCAATCGATCTTTCAACATCCACCAGCAACAAAATATGTTTCCAAAATATGTTTCCTCCATTATTTGTTTCTTTTCATAATCGCTCATTGAGAACAGATCATTCAATAAACTGTTCTTTTGAATGCTTCTATTGTCATGTTTGTTATGACAATTGACTGATCAGTAACAGTCATCAACAATTAGTCACAATACCGTCGTCACTATTGTATGCTTCAGAGTATTTATTTTGTCTAAAGAGTAGGAATTGTTAAAGCAAATTGTAGTTTTGAATAATAGTTTTATACAATTCAGAACAAATGTGTTAGGCATGTAATTATATATTCGATATAACCATCTAATAAAAGCGCGATGTCTTTAGTTATATTTTTTTTTAAACTATAAATTATGTATGACTGTCCAAATTTTGCTCAACAAAAGCTGTAGGAACATATTCTTGAGTGATAAAGTAAATACTTAGATGCTTTGTTGTTATAAAAGGTCGACTGCGATTCCCGATCCGCTAAGTTAAAACAGGATGATTTCATATTCTTCTAATGTAAAGCAATGCTATAGCTACTTTCTAGTCATCTTTCAATACTGAAGAACCGATTACTTGTATGCATATTTTATATTTTGCTTTCGTTGAGCCAGCAATTGCATCATCTTGGGTTTTTTTGAATGTGAAATGAATAATTTAAGAATTTCGGTACTATTAATTAAATCTAATGTATTTTAAGATTCTTTTGTTTGATTTAGACTCTTATCTAAACTGACGCCGTATTCAACACGGCATTTTAATGAAGCAGCTAATTGTTGGGGCTACATTTGTCGATGGGATGGGATGACATGACAATTTTTTGTGTAGATTTGAAACTGAAACTAGTCTTTTATGCAAATTAGACGACGCATTCTTAAACATTTTGTTTGCCTTTCACACTCGTTCTTCTGAAAATCAACAAAGTATTAATTATATGCGAGCATGTTCTTTGATAGCCAACAATTTGTGTGTGGCCCAAACGTATGGACGTAATCAAGTGGTTTGCCTTCGCCGCTGATAAAGTGGAGTTGGTGTCAAAGTGCAACAATTGGAATTGGCCAGAGCTTAATAACAAAATTGCCAGCAATTGTTGGCAACGGCAAGTGCAGCATGCAACTGTAATTAGTTAATTAGTTGCATGCTGGTCAAGCAGCTGCAAATTCTAGGCAGTCATGAGAGCTTAAATTGCCCGCAACTGGCTTAAAAACAAAAATGAAATAATACCGAAAAAGAGTAACACTTGCTTCTGCTGCTGCTGCTGCTGCTGCTGCTGTCTAGGGCATAACAATGTAAAGGCTGAGGCGTGCTTTGAAATGCCATTGCGCATACGCAATGTATGACCAACTCGAGTACAAATTGCTATTGAAAGCGCATGCAGTTGATTGCAAAAAGAAGCGAGTGGCTTAACACATTTATTGTTGTTGTTGTTGTTGTTGTTATATGTCGCACCATTACAACTTTTGCATTTTATTGAGCGCTTTGTTTGAACATTTTTCGCTCAAAACGTGTTCGGCGCAGGCGCAGGCGTCGACGTTGGCGTCAACGGCAAAGCGGCAAAGCGGCATCGCTTCGTCGTCGTCGCAATAAAATTCAATTTCTGTTGTTTTTTTTTTTCATTTTTCATTTTTTATTTTTGGCCAAATGAGCGCAAATCAGTTTTGAGTCAACACACATGCATATTTGTACACGTACACACACATACACACACACACACACACACCCGTGTATGTGTATGCGTATTTACACGCCACTGCGCTGACTGCAAGTCCGTCAAAAGCTCAGCTCACAGTTTGTTGTTTTTGGTTGCCGTTGTCTGCTGTTGGCGCCGCTGCTGCGCTTGCCGTCGCCGCCGCCGTCGCTTTTGGCTGTAACCGATTTTTTGGCCACTGCTAAATCATTGAAGTAACTTTCGTCTGCAGTCATTTGCTTAAAGTTAGTGAACGTGCTAGTATCGCGTCCCTCAGTTGCGGCTGCTGCGCTTTAAGACTTTTTGTTCGTGGTGTGTGTGCGTGTGTATGTGTTTACATTTTGCAGGCACTGTTTCAAATACAATGCCTTAAGAATTTAACCAATAACAATAATATTCAACATTTTTTAAAAACTAAAAATATATATATTTTTTTTAAATACGCCACACGGCCATTACTTTGTTTTTTTTTTCTTACGAAAATATTTGGATTTTTTTTTGTACGTTTTTGCATTGCTTTGAAGGCCAAGCACGCGCTTTTTGCTTTAAAATATTACGCATACGTAGCGTGTTCCAAGACAATAAAAAGACATTATTTTAACGATGCATAACTATTTGCTGACTTTTTTTTAATGTCTCTTGCAGCAGCTATACAAACAACAAGAACAACAACTGCTGTAACTACAACATCAGTGCGAGAGAATTGAAATAACAAGAAGGAACAGCTACAACATGCAACACTTCAAGTGCAGTCTATTGGTGATGACGCTATTGGCGATCAACCTGCATATGTCCGCTGGGGCGCCGGGTCTGCGTGTTAAGCGCCAACAGCTGCCCTCTGGAGCGGAGCTGCTCACACTCACTGAGGACAACGACAGCAACATCGATGCTGCGGACCTGAATCCCATCAACGCAGAGGTAAATTGTGTTGCCAAAATGGAAGGCACAGACACGCTCGCTCGAAACTAGGAAGCGTCGAGCTGGGCATTGTGTCAGATAAACAGGCAAGCGGACAGGCGGACAGGCGGACAAACTGTGGGACACGTTTGGCAACTTGTTGTCTGTTTGCCTGCCTGCCTGTCTGCCTCTCCGCCTGTCTGTCTCTCTGTCTGTCTGTCTGTCTGCTGGGGCTTTAAGGCTGAGTCTGAGGCTCGGCTTCTTGTAAGTTTTGGGGCGTGAAAGTGAAGTTTTGAATGTTGCATTGTTGTCATTGCAACAACAACAACAACAGCACAACAACAACACTGGCAGCAACAGACTACCAGCCGCCTTGCAAATTGTAAGCTAACGATGCGATTTGACTGCAATGATTGCTTGATTGCTTGTCTGCCAGTCTACCGCCTGCTTAGCTGGTTGGTAGGCTATCTTTGTAGTTGTTATTGTTGTTGTTGTGTAAGTGCATCGTTGCTTTCATTTGTTAACTGCATTAGACGCAATTGCTAATTTCGTGGTCGACTGTTGCGCATTTCCACCTTTGCTTTTCCGCAATTGGGGTTTTCAGTTTTTTATCTTCTTCTCTTTACCTCCATCTCCGTTTCTATTGCTACTGCTACTGCTGTTGCTGTTACTGTTACTGTTGCTTCGCTGTTGTTGTTATTGTTATTGTGCATTGGTGCATTGAACTGCCCACAAAGCAAAAGACAACTCAAATCCAAACTCAACAACAAAAACAGCTTTGCAAACATTAAACAACAACAACACCAACAACAAACAAAAAAAACAAGAAATACTCAAAACCAAGCATGCATACAAATCAATAGCAACATGGTCAAGACATATGCTCGACCTTGAGCATGTGGGCGCCTTTGGTCATAAAAATTGAAATATTTTTGATCAAGTGCCACCAAAAAGCAAAGCATACATATATATAAATAAACATATATATGTACAGCAACAGCAACAACAATAACAACAACAACTGATGGCATTTAAGGCGCGCACAATGACAACAAACTCCAGTAACAACAACAAAAAACAGTTAAAACAGTGCGTCCGTATGTCCGTAGGTAAGCGCGCTAAACAAGTTGTTAACGACCTACGTTAACATTTCAAAACCGTTGCGCATACAGCAAACCAGCCAATCACAACAACAAGACCAGCATCAACAAAAAGTAAACCAAGTCGAGCTTAGCCAGCAAAATCGGCCGGACAAGCGCCTCCTCAGTTATGTTATTGAGAGACCATTTGCCTATATAAGTTGGCGTATGTATGTATGTGTGGGTACTTCCCTGTCTGCATATGTGTGTGTGTGCTAGTGTGTGTGAGTGTGTGAGTGTTGGACACACAACAAGTGTCGGTGAAGACTCAGACATAAACGTGGACGCTGGCTGCAAAGTGAAGAAGCCACGTTTGCAGCCATTGTGCAATTTTTTCATTAATACATTATTTGTTGTACGACTAGTTGTTGTTGTTGTTGTCGGTATTCGTTTTTAGCGCGCGCTGTTTTCATTATAAAATTAATTTACAGCTTTTGTGGAAAATTTTGAAATGCAATTTAAAATTGGCAAAACGCTATAAATTCAAATGAATACTCCTTCCTGAAACTTTCCTTTCAGCTCGATAACAAAGACAATGATTAGGCCCGTCACACTGCAGGCCTGCAAACGGGCTTGCTTAAGTTTTTAAGCTGTTTGTCTTTTAACGGCTGCGCATGCGCAATTTAGTTTTTCCTCCTTCATTTCATCGTCCATATATCTTCTATTTGTAAATTTCTCTCGATTGTAAGAAGGGTTATTGTCTTAGTAGATAAAATGTTGTCCATTAAAGTTAATTGCCTTTATTGAAGAGCTTGCCATGCAGAATCAAAACGAATTCTGTGCCATGTAGATAGCTTTTTCCTATAACTATGGAACACGAATGTGCTGTTATAAATGTCCTCTGTCTTGTTATAATAAGTATATACAACAATTTCTAGAGTTTCTTTTAAAACTAGAAGGCTATTTACTAACGATGCTAGCTCGGTTTCAAAGCCAAAAATTCGCTCGTAGTAAGAGTTTGAAAACATTTGGAAATTTGACATTGAATTACAAACATCTTCATAAGTACCTACTATAATCGACATCGCTTAAGCGTTGTGGTTTCATTTTCAAATAATAATGTCTGGCTGATTATAAAAACTATGAGCATCGCAAAAAAAAGTTTATAAATGGCCAAAAAAAAAAAAAAGACGGAGTCTGCTATCTCATTCAAGTTTATCGAAAGGTCGTGCTGTGGCTTGCGTGTTGAGTTACACTTGAAAAGACAATAGCGACTTGGGCATAAATAATGGCTTCAGTAAAGATAAAGTAACTTGAACTTCTCTTGAAGTTTAGGATTTTCCGAACTGATTTTGGGTGCAGATTTGTAAAAAAAAGATTGACTGAATATACCCATATATGCCATCCTAGAAGCTAAATAATCGTGACTGAACTACAAATAAGTTAACAAATTAAAGATAGTGTTGATCAGTTGGTCGTTTGTTTGCTCAGTCAGTCACATCTGTCCCATTAAAATTCCCAAATAAATGGCAGAGAAAAAGGTCGTATAATTATTTCAAATGCAATGCACTATAAACAACGGCAACTACGAGTACATATAAGTAGTATATCCGATTGTATAGTTTGATTTTGGACTTGAAGTCGCGTTTTGTTTAGAAATGAGTCGAAATGCATGACGTGATTTTTTAAAAGTTATTTTTCTGTTTTATTTATTTTCTGAGGCAGTGACGCTGTGAATTTAAATACTTGTACATGGTGGATTCCAAACGAATCTCTAGTCAAATGAAAACGATTGAAAGTGAAATGATATCGCCATATCGAGTACCAAGAATGCGTATGGCGCTTGCAATAAATAATGCGTGAATCTGAAAGCTAGCGGGGCACACTTTTAATTGCGAACTGAACACACATACTACATACACACGCAGACATCTGTTTGCTTTAATTATTTGTATGTATTTTGTTTTTCTTGTGCGTCATTAATTGGGTCAAGTCGAACTAGCTAAGGCGCAATGAAATTATATATATATTTTTTTTTCCATTTTGTCGGCGCAACTAAACTTGAAAGCAGATTTGCTGGCATAATTTGGCAAATTGTTGTGGAAAGAACGACACCCAGACGCCCTGGTTGGGGCCAGCGGACAGAGTTGAAGTACATATACAGATTTGTATGCATTGAAAACATTTTGTGGCAAGTCATTAACACAGAATGCAAGGCGCATGAAATTATGGCGCCCAAGGCAGATCAAACGATAATACGATAGATAGAGAGAGAGACAGACATTTGTCTGCGTCTAATGCCATGATTGGCAACTTTTTGTAATGCTTCGTATGCTCACAAGCTAAGGTCAACAAAGCCAAGTCAATTACTGTAAACCAATCTCTTTTTATACTCCACTTGTGCACTCAAAATATTGAAATTTTTAAACAATGTATATGACAAGGTATAGAGTGTATTGTCGGTTGTATGAACGTCTGATCATTCAGATGAACGTCTTCCTTTAGATCCAGGGAAACGACACTTTGTTGAGATATTGCTCTGAGCTTCATGTATATAAAGTTTGTCTTAAGTTTTGCGATTACATAATTAAAGTCGACATTTTTATCCATAATCTCTATGAATGAGTTTTATGAAATCAATTGACTTATGTATGCATATTTAGGTCGACGATCTTCATTCAAAAGTTCCATCACAACAATTCCTATCATAGTACTTTTAGCACATTTTAAACAATAATAATTGAGGAGTGATTTTCGTTTTGGCGCTAATTTTCTTTCACATTTATTTGGTTCGATCAATGATGCATTGTCTTGGAAATGGCTGAGACTATTCCATATTGCTCCTTTTGCTTTTCTTGTGCCCGCTCTCTCTAAACGCAACTCATTTTAGGAGGTGTTAGGCGCTGGCCTAGAACGCAACAAAAGAAAACTGCCCGATGCCACGTTTGAGGCTAAAAATGCTGTGCTCGGATTTGTCTTTGGCGTAAGTAGCAATAACTGCGAAGGTTGATGGGAATATAATTGGATTAACAATTTTGTTGCTTCATAGAAAATCGACAATTTCCTAGACACCAAGACGCGCGTCATTGAGCAATTGGATCGCTCCAACATCGAGAAGAACAAGCAATGGGACATTAAGTCGCCAGTACCCATTAAGGACTTCCAAACTCTGATCACCGCCGTGGTCTCACCGAAGATTCGCTCGATTGGTAACATCGCCAATGATCTGACCACTGGCGTCTTGACCACCATCACAGCCTTTAGTGGCAGCTCCTCGGGCAATGGCAATGCAAATGCTGGACTCGGCAATGTTGTCTCCAAGTTCCTTAGCTTTTCGGGCCCCATACTGCAGGGCTCGTCGGGCGCACAGGGTGTGGCTGGTGTGACGACACCGGCACCAGACTCAGATGAGGCGGGCTATTAGGTGGATGATGAGACCCACATTGGATGCTGGAGCGCATAATTTATGTAACTAAGTGAGGAACTCCCCCACATTCTCCACCAACGACTTCACACACATACACACACACACACTCAACTCGCTCTGATTGATGAAATTTGAAATCAACTCTTTTGATGTAATTAGCGAAAATTGCGTTTAGTTATTAAGTTGAAATTCTGTAGAATGATTTTTTTTTTATAAATATTCTTTTTGTCAGGGCCTTTGCTGTTTTAGTTAAGTTAAATCTTACACCACACATTGTATCATGTTTGTAAATATTGGCGCATACCTACGACTATCGTATACTCGTGAAACGAATAAAATGAAATAAAAGAATTTTTACATGTTAAACTAATTAAAGAAACCAAAACTGGTTTCGTCTCGTATTTTTTTGGGCTGTTGAGATAATTGGGTGACCTTGGCCTTGCCTCAGTTATGTTGTGTCCAAGTTCAAATTAATTACATGCTCTGATAAATTTCCCATAAAGCGCTCTTTCATACCCAACCGCCTACTCACTCTCCTTATCTTTTAAACTTGCAGAGCGAGCGGCGGCAACGGCGCGCACGCGCCACCGGCAAAGATGGGAACGATGCCGCCGAACTGGACCGCAGCAATGTCTCGTTCCAGCTGCCCGACGAGCTCTTCAATAAATCGTTCCAAACCGTCACAAATGTTAGCAAATCAATATCCAGATTGATTATGGTAAGTCCACTGACAGTCGTCTTATGCATTAATTAGGTTTAGCGATTGTTTGCATTGCTCGTTTACATCTTTCAACTGTCTCGCTCATTTGTTTATAAACTCAAAAGCTTGGATAGCAATAGCAAAGTTTCCAATAGTAATTTGTCAAGCAAAAACAAAACAAAACATGAAAGGAAAGCAATTGTAGGTTTGATTGAAAATCTGTTGACTCATGTATTGTTTTAAGCATTTTTATTTCAGATTTAGTTTTGCGAACTTTGTTTGAATTTAATAAGAATCGGAAGATATTACGATTCTGAAGAGCTATATTCAGTATCACAAAAAAGGAGTACATTTCATGTAATTGGTTAGTCAAGAAAATGAATGAAACATTCAGAAAATCGGACAAGAAAATCTGTCCGCCTTTGCCTGATGTTAAAGCCTTTCAAATATTGCAAATAATCAATTGTTTCGTACAAAAGTTTTGTGTGTCTAAGGGTTGGGGTCTATTTCGTGTTCAAAGTCTCTTGTCTACTTATATTATTTTAAGTTGGCAGCACCCCGTAAATGGGTTGGCAGCCCGAAAAATTGGCTACACTGATTAATAGACAATATGACTAACATGTTAATTGTATGCGTATTGTTGAAAATGTAGTTAATTTTTATGAAATGAAATGGATTATTAAATGTAAACGTTTCAAGCAGCTGTGCTTTGCTTAGTTGAGGTTGCCATATCGGGCAAGATATTGTAAAGTATTGTATTGGACGGCACTGTACTAAGAATGTAAATCTAATTACTTCGTTGCACATTTTGTTTCCTCTGAAGTTTGTTCTTCCCTATTGATAAATAATTACGATACGCTTTAAAAAAATTACAATTTATTGTTTCATAAATTTTAGAACTCGGCTCGTCGCTACGCTCGCTTTGTTCTATTCTTCAAGCCCGTGTTTGGAGATGCTTTGGTGGTGAAGGGCAATGAGGAGCCAACGACCACCACAACGCAGCGAACAACGACCACGACGGAGGCGGAAAAACTAAACGAAGTTTAAAAACTAGTCGCACGACATTATTCCTACATGAATTTCTATTAGTACACACATTTTTGTTTTGTTTGTTTGTCTTTATTGTTATGGGATATCTATAAATTATGCTATTACACTTATGCTATACAATATTGGAGCACGCATTTGTTTAGATAAAAATATATATACATATATACATGAGTATACACATATGAATGCTATTTTTAAGCTGCTTTCGGTCGCACCGACAATCGGATCCGCTTAAGCGAGCCCTTCGGCCCATCTAAAAAGCCACGCCACAGAATTCCTTTATAGCCATCAACATTGCGGTCCAAAATACGCTGGTAAATGCCAAAGGGATTGCTAAGAGGACCAAATAGGAGTTGGGTGTTAATAGGCGACGGGTGCAGAGCTATGTACATCTCCAGTGATCTCACCTCAGGTTGCAGCTGCTGCTGTACCAAAACGCAGCTGACTGGGCAGTCGCACAATTTGCGCCGCTCTCAGTGTTGTCCTGGTCACTGGTGCTGAACTTTTTGCCGGCGTGCTGACGCAGTGCATCGGCCGCATCGCCTGTGTGGTTGCCTAGCACGTTCAGTCGGTACTGCTCGGACTCGCTGCCAATGCTGAACTGGTCATAGAGAGCATAGCGTTGCTTCTCCTCGCGATTGTGGAGCTGGACCAGCAGCTCATAATTATCGCTGACCGTGATCCAATGCAGCTTGTCCAGTCCGATGAAGAACTCTGTGGTTAGGGACCCAAAGCCAATCTTGTAGTCAACCCATTTGCGATTAAAGTCCTCGCTACCGTCGTAGCGATTGGCCACCACTGTCCAGCCACCGCCACGGACCTTCTGGTCGCAGAATACATAGAAGGGCTCTATATTGGGTCCCGGTCGAATGCGCACAACTCCATGCTCTTGCTTGACGCAGTTGTGCGGCGTTGTGGGTCCCTTAGTGGCGGGAGCTGCTGGGACGAGGGCCTGTGGATCTAGTATGTCCGTATCCAAGCTGTTGGAGGAATTATTACTTGAAACATAACAATTATTTGAGTGAAGTTTGAAAATATGTAAGAAGAGATTGAACTTGAAAGCTTATTCTATAATCAATCCTATGTATAATACTATACTATATAGCTTGAGTTCTTGTTTGCTTTTAAAATATATATCGTTTCCATAAAATGTGCTCTTTGAAATGAAGAAAAACTTTGTTTTTCTAATGCAAATGACGAGCAATGATTTTAACAGCAACACCACTAATGGAACCAAACATGCAAGTCTGCCTGACTCCTTCAGTATTGTGCCGACGGATGTATTCCCCAAGGAAGGCCTGATGGCCTGGAGTCTTTTAGTGAACTCTTTTACCCTTTTCCTAGAGGAGGGTATACAAGTTGCTACTAGGCTCAAAGCAATCAAATTAGTTACTTGCTATCACTATCCTAGAAAAAAGGCATTCAAAAAAAAGAGTTCAACCTACAAACGACTGCCGAGAGCGATGGGCAGCGTTGCCAGGGGCGTGGCACCTATCGATGTGGCTGTACGGCGCAAATCCACAAGCTGCTCCTGTAAGCTGCCCACCTGCTCCTTAATACTGGCCATGTCCGTGGCAAGCGCTTGAAGTCTGTTGGAGATATTTTGCATTAGAACTAGAGAGGCCATCAAAATAGACGTATTCTGCAAGTGAGTCTTACCTGTTGGTGAACCCACTTAGAGCGGAAATAGGACAAGTGCCTGCTGTACTCTATAAATAAAAAGACATACAGTGAAAAATGAAAAATATGATGAGCTCGGCGCTCAAACTGACATTATCGATGGGCAGTGATTTCAGCATTTCACTGTTAAGTTCATTTTGTGTGCTCGTCAGGCAGGCCAGCATGGTGACCAACGTGTCCAACTGCAACATTTTCGACATTTCGATTCTACGACTACACTGGGAACAGGCTTCAGGCCGACTGGCTAGCTGAACTGGCTGTTGTTTTTCCGGCTGGAAGGCAGTGCGCGACGAGTAGAGCGCCAAAGGTCGGCAATTAAAGCAAAAGCTCGGCTGCATCGCTTCACTAACTAAGCAACTAGTACGGGCACATTGCAAACAGGTATGCTAAGTAGACAGCCCACATTCCGTACAATAGACTATACGTGTACTATACTACAAACATTACATTACTAAGAACAGCAACATCAACAGCACTAGCAACTACAGACGGCGCTTCAGTTCGGTTTCAAGTGTCTAGCGATCTCTACTCAGAATGGCGCTCGAAACGCTGGTTACGGCTCTGGCCTGTCTGAGCAGCACGACGCCCCCGATGCGACCCAACGCGGATATGACGGTGTCCGCGATAATGAAGAATTCACACGAACCATTTCGTCTCGATAATGTAAGTAATTGCAAGACCAGTCCGGAGGTTTGGCTATCATACCACAATATTTACAGAGCACTGGCTGTCCTGTTAGTGCCTTGGGAGGTTTCACGGCGCGGTAAGTTCGCCACTACCAGTACCTTGGAGGAGTACTTACTTTTAACAATTTGAATTTTCCCGAAACAGCATAGAGTACATGTCCAATGAGCTACAGTCGTTGAAAACGCAATTGGATGATATCCAGCAGCTGATCGATGAGTACAAAAACAACGCGGTCGCAGCCCCAACCATGACTCTTGAGTCGCGTATGTAAGTTAGCCAACCAATATAGAAGTAGTACCCAAAATTTCCAATTTCAAATTTCCAATTTCTCTCTACAAATTTGAAATGCATTATTAAAAACTCCATATTATTTGAATCAGAATGAAGAACTGCAAAGATCCATTTAATATTTATATTCATGATTTTTGATTCAAATTAAGCTAATTGGTAGTCAGTATGTTAGTCTGTTATGGAAAGGAGCAGGAAGGCAACTAGTTATTAAAACCAACCTATTTTCCACTCTACTGTGCTTGATCGCAGCAGATGCGTTAAATGAAATTCTTCGCTATCCACAGTTGAATACCTTTACGCTTGGTAAGCACATTGGCTTCAGACTTCTTCAGCAAGAAACATCAATTAATCTATATGTATGATTTCTATACGCAATTCAACAACTTATTTCATATTCTAACAATACGTTTAATAATTGTTTTGAACTTGCAGCTTACGGGCCGATAGCATCGGAACTATACCTGCAGCTATCAACGTGCCTTTCGATGATAAGCCGCAGAACTGCTGGGACCAGAAGCATGGTGAGGTGCTCATTAGAATAGCGCCAGATGTGGAGCCCTTCTTTGTCAACTGCGATCAGGAGGAACGCGATGGCGGCTGGATTGTAATCGCCTATCGCTTTGATGGCAGCGAGGTCTTTAATCGTGGCTGGCAAGATTACAAGTCCGGCTTTGGTTCGTTGAGCTCAGAGTTCTTCATTGGGATGGATAAGTTGCATAAACTGACTAATAGGGCCGAGTGTGAGCTGTATATTGTGATGCGCAACCAGGAAAAGGAGCAGCGCTTCGCTCTCTACGACAAGTTCAGTATTGGGAGCGAGTCTGAAAAGTATTTGCTGTATGTCCTGGACAGCTATAGAGGAGATGCTGGCGACTCATTGCGCTATCATGCGGGCAAGAAGTTCACAACCTTTGATCAGGACAATGATGATAATGCACAGAACTGTGCGCGCACACATGCCAGCGCCTGGTGGTATGGCCGAGACTGCTTTGAGAGGTCTGTGAAAGAACAAACCTTTTGTTGACGCTCAATCTATAATTTTCTTCCGATTTTCAGTAACTTATTTGGCACGTTTCAGCCAAAATATGCTCACCAGATCGGCAACTATAAGGGCATATTGTGGAAACCATTTTTGCCCGGACCCACTGGCTCCCTAAGCTACGTCCGTATGATGATTAGGCCGAAGAAGTCGTAGTATGGGCTAGTTGGCTATGCTATTAGTCTATTTTTTATTTATTTATTTCCAATTGATTTGATTTGCATTTCATATATGTAGGTATGCCAAAGAAAATTCTTTGAATTGGGCTTTCTGCCAACAATTAGCGTGCGAAATTCCTATATACTATTATTGTAGAAATACCAATATTTGTATGAATGATTCAACACTCGTTGCAAGTATTACTTGCAACCAATTAGTTTATCAAATATACATTTATTCATTCATTTGCATCGAATACAATTAAAGTTTGAATAAAGCTAAGTTCGATTTTTGTCGCTACAAAGCTCTTGAATATAAAATTAGCAATGTGCAGTTTTATTTAATCAGCTTTTTGTTGGTTATAATTATGAAAAGCAATTCATTGTTCTATTATTGCTTGGCATCCAAATGAAATAAAATGTCATAATGAAAGTTAAATGCAAAGATTCGGAGTCTACCGTCTAAAAATTTTCACCCCGACAGATTAAAGTGAAAAAACATTTACTTACATTCATGTATTTTAAAAGAAATCCTTAATATCGCCTTCAAAATAGGGTCCTTATGAACAAATACAAACATGCCAAAGGTTAATTCAATTCTCCATGCACTGGTTTTGGGCCTCGGCTGAAATAGCCGCCAAGTCCTGCAGGCAATAACTCTATATGGCCTTAGTACATTTAAAATGCGTAAATCGGTTATTAGATTAAAATAAGTTAAGCATCAACTAAATAAATCTACAGTATGTATATGTATTTTCATATCTTTGGAACAGCAGTGCATTTGAGAAATAGTCGTCAGACAAAAAAAATTGTGTGTGCAACTAAAAAATTAGCAGTATTCTAATACTTCTAATACTTCTACTATTCAAATGGCTCACGTAATTCCACGAAAAGTGATGAATGGCTAGTAGCTGGTTGGTTGCGAAAAATTTCCATTCTCATAAATCGTACAGTTACAAACCATTCGTTTTGAATTATCTATTTGGCAAGTACAAACTGGAGCTCTAAACAGATGCTAATGCTGGGCCAAATAAAGAGGCTAAGTCTTGTCACTTCTCTTAACTGAATTGTGGGTAATTAACGTCGGCTTTAATTGCAGCTTTACTGCCATGCATTCATTTATATGTAGAATGCAACAGAATTGAACTGGTTTTCATTACGCCAATTAAATATTTCACAATAATTGATAAACAATGGAAAGCCAAAGACGACACACGAACAGAGGCGGCCTTAAGGCAATAACGACGCGTCGCTCAATTGAAAATAATGTCGCTCATTAATATGGTATTATCATGAGAAATTTAATTTTGTCTCATTTGCATACAATTTCTATACAATGGAGGGCGCTTACGTTATGTAAGTAATGGCAAGAACAAAAACACAACAGTCTACTCCCGTTTCGGGCACGTGGCATGTGGTTGGGCTTCTTTGCCAAGCGACGTAGCTAAAAATATTAGAAACACACACAAATAAATAAAAGCCTACATATGTATGTACATTGTGTAGTTGTAGTTGTAGAGATGTTAATGAAAAACACGCTTACAAGTATGTATGTATTTCCATTTATAAATTGCGCACACGGCGTATGCGTAATGCATACACAGCTGTCGAAAAGTTTTGTCATAAATAATAAGCTGTATGTTTGCCTGCAATTGTTTGGGGGGCATGCCCGTCCAAACAATTCAATAAATTCCAACAGCAACAACACAAACTTGTGGCTCTGCCAATGAAGCGCAAGTAAATAAATTTTTGCTCACATATTTCTTGTGAGCTGTTTGACAAAGTCAGAAAATATTAAACAAAGCATTCACCCAAAACAGAGAGACATTCATATATACATACATACGAGTACAAACATACAACTGACAATGAAATGAAGCCGCTTCTATTCTTTTATGCTCCTTTTTATACCCTGTACCCGTAGGGTAGAAAGGGTATATTAGGTTTGTGCAAAGTATGTAACATGCAGAAGGAAGCATCTCCGACCCCATAAAGTATATATATTCTGAATCAGCATGACGAGAGAAATCGATCTAGACATGTCCGTCCGTCTGTCCGTCCGTCTGTCCGTCCGTCTGTCCGTCCGTCTGTCCGTCCGTCTGTCCGTCTGGATGAACGCAAGGATCTCAGAAACTATAAAAGCTAGAATAACCAAAGTTGGCATCCAGATTCTCCTAGGTCCGAGAAAGGACGAGTTTATTTTTTTTGTTTTAATTTTTCCCCCCTTCCCCGACTACAAAATTTCGTCAATAGCGTCCAAATTTCAAATGCTACCTAAACCAAATTTGCACATATAATTCATATATAATTATCTACTGTTGTTTCAAAATTTTATTCAATTCGGTAAATTCTAAGAAAAGTTATTAGCGAAACAAATTCTCGCCAGTACAACCCCACCAAGCTACAGCAACAAGTTCGCTCTTCTTCTTCCTCTTTTTGCTGATGCTATGGGCGCATATAACTCAGTGACGGAAGTTTACCTGGGTACAGGGTATTTCACTGTCGGGCTTGCTCGACTGTAGCGTTCTCTCTTGTTTTGTTTTGAATTTTCATAAAACTTTTCCTCGTTTGCCGCTAATAAATTATTTCACATAAAGTTTTTCAAAAGCAACACGAACGACTCGAACGAAGCAAAGTGGGCAGAAATCAAAAATAAACGATCAAAAATCTGCATCAATAATCCTAGAGTTCCTTGCTCTGATAATTAAAAGCGATCAAAGCTGAAGCAGTAGCGTATGTTTCATTTTGTATCGTCTTTTACAGATTTTCAACTGTAACTAATTGGTTCTTATGTATAATACTTTTAAGTATATGAGTGTAGGTATTTTTTCAGCCAACCCTTCATATTTAAATGAATTGAATTAAGAAGAACTTGATGAATACAATAAAAATTAAGAAGAAACGCATAATATAAAGAGTTGAAGAGTTAATTTTCGCACATTATAGCCAGTTAGAAATGAATATTTAGTTATAAAGTCCAAGTCGATATAATTCATACTTCTAAGTACATTGAACAAATGTATGAATGTAAAATGTATAATTAAGGCTCAGTTTCTAAATTTCTGCCATTGTGCGAAAGCTCTCAACAGTCAGGCAGTCAGACAGTCAGACAGTCAGACAGATAGACAGACAGAGAAGCAGGCTATTCAAGGCAAGGCAGACTCTGTGGGACCCCGGACACACAAACTGCATATTGTTTAAGTTGTTGTCGTTGTACAATAACTACAGGCCATTACATCGCTCGTTTGCACCCCCCTCCCCCACACACCCCTGCTCTTCTTTGTCGCAATAGCCTCGTCTTCATCGCCAACACCATTTTGTATTGCTCGGCTATTTGTTTGTTATTCCTGTGTGTGCGCTTTGTTCATAAATAATTTGCACCACAACTCAATTTCATGAGCGTAAATCACTGTGTGGTCACTTGGCACTTTATATTTTGGGGCGCACGGTCCACTTCGGGACTGCCAATGCTGCTTATTGTTTCAATTCTTCTTTTCAAATATTTCTTGAACTCGACTTTTTTTCTTGTCTCCGGTGTTCGTTGGTCGAGCCATTTACCATACCAGTTTTATGTTTGCTGTTGGTAGTGTGTGCATGCTGTTGTTGTTGTTGCTATTGCTGTTGTTGTTGTAGCTATGTGTATGGCAAGAGAGCGAAATTTTCTTTTCTTTGTGTGGAAGCAGAAAAAAAGTTTGCCTTGTATTGTGCCTGGGGAGGACCTGTGGCCAACGATAGTCTGCTCGCTTTTGTGACTTTTGTGGCACGGGTGTTAAATCAACACAAAAGTTGCGACAACTTTTCAATTGGTTTGACAAATATAAGGAAATTTACAATATCGCATCAGTGAAGAAAATATGAGAAAACAAAAACTAATCTAGAGCGCCATCATTCCGATTGCTACTTCCACAATGGCAGCTATTTAGATTTTATAGCATTTATGGGACATTCTCGTATACTATGTATGTGGCCCCAGAACTGGAATCTAAGAAAGAAGCTCGAATGAAGGAAGTTAACTATCGAATAGCCATCGATTCAAAGCTATAAATGACCTTTAGGTACCATAGAAAATTGTTATTTACCTAATTCTGTTTTTACACGGTAGATTGGTTCCAGAAAGGCTCGTGTAAAAAAAAAACCGTGTAAAAAATACATTGATTATATGTTATTTTAAATCGTGCTAAATGGAATACCATTTTTAATCTTCAAACCGTGTAAAAACAGAATTAGGTGTACCTTAAAAATCAACTCAAACTTTCTGCTCTTTGTGGCGTTGACTGTCGTTAGCTTTAAACAACTTTTTTGTTCTGTCAGAAAACTGGCTTTTTCAGCTAACCCGATTAACATAGGGTTACCTTTCAAAGCTGTTAATCGATCGATTTTCTTATTGAACTGCTTTTAAACGAAACACAAATTATCATAATTATCTTGTGAGAATACTGTACAAGAGTATATATTTTTATTTGGAGTAATGACGAAATCATGCTAATGAATTGAATAGAATCAGACTTTAAGACTAACAGAGAACTTGGAAAACTTGCAAATATTGCTAAATCCTCCTACGCCTTCGATCATTTACCCTAAGTCTGTTGAATCTGCAAAAAAAAAGAAAACGATGTCATTCCTTACACTACATTTAATGCGTCACTACGCATGCCGCTCATGAAACTGCAATAAAAAATACATTACACTAAATTCTCATATTTCGTCAACGCCTGGCCGGGGGAGAAGCGGAAAAGTGGAAAATGGCCTGGAAGGGTGAAAGGGAAACAGACAGCCAACAATAAATTGCAATTCCAAGTCACTTAAATTGCAACAAATAACACGAGGCAATGTGACAGCAAGACGAAGCCAACGTCGCCGACATCGCTGGCAAATGTCAACGTGTGTCAGACACCTACCCTCCCCTCCCACCACCCTTTGGCTAAGCTAAGGTGTGCTCTGGCTCTGCCACCCCATCGCCCCCACTAACCCCACTCAGGCACCCCTATGCTATAATTTTTAGCACAAATTTACTTTTTGCCAGCCCATTTGGTTTATGTGATGCCCACAAACAGACAAACACACACACACACACACACACACACACACACATGCAAAGAGGCGCTCCTGCCTCACCGAAAAATGTGTCATCTCTGATGCATTCTATTCGGTAGTACAGGGACGAGTTGACGCATCCCCCTC